GAATAGATAACAACCTATTCTTAGACGTACTGAATATACATATAAAATTTTATGAAAATCGATCAAGCCGTTTCGGAGATGGTAACAAAAAACTTAAAAAAACAACCCCTATTAAAAAATAGGGGATGATAGCAGAACGGTGAAAATTTAGGGTTGTTTGTATTTCTTAATGCCAAATAAAAAAATAAAAACATTTTTTTCTTTTCAAAAACTAAAAAAAATGAGGGTGGGCTACCCTCTCGGCTACCCTTATCAGTTAAGGATATAAAAATAGATAACAACCTATTCTTAGACGTACTGAATATACATATAAAATTTTATCAAAATCGGTTAAGCCGTTTCGGAGATGGTAACAAAAACTTAAAAAAAAACAACCCTATTAAAAAATAGGGGATGATGGTAGAACGGTGAAAATTTAGGGTTGTTTGTATTTTTAATGCCAAATAAAAAATTTAAATATTTTTTTTTTTCAAAAATAAAAAATGGGGTGGGCTACCCTTATCACTTAAGGGTATAAAAATAGATAACAACGTATTCTCAGACCTACTGAATATACATATAAAATTTCATCAAAATCGATTAAGCCGTTTCGGAGATGATAACAAAAAAAAAAAAACATCCCCTATTAAAAAATAGGGGATGATGGTAGAACGGTGAAAATTTAGGGTTGCTTGTATTTTTTAATGCCAAATAAAAAAAATTAAAATATTTGTTTTTCAAAAAATAAAAAAAATGGGGGTGGGCTACCCTTATCACTTAAGGGTATAAAAAATATATAACAACCTATTTTCAGACCTACTCAATATACATATAAAATTTCATCAAAATCGGCCAAGCCGTTTCGGAGATGGCAAAAAAAACAAAAAACAACCCCTATTAAAAATAGGGGATGATAGCAGAACGGTGAAAATTTAGGGTTGTTTGTATTTCTTAATGCCAAATAAAAAAATAAAAACATTTTTTTCTTTTCAAAAACTAAAAAAAATGAGGGTGGGCTACCCTCTCGGCTACCCTTATCAGTTAAGGATATAAAAATAGATAACAACCTATTCTTAGACGTACTGAATATACATATAAAATTTTATCAAAATCGGTTAAGCCGTTCCGGAGGAGTACGGTAACCAAAACTGTAACACGGGAATTATACATATAATGAAATGATTATAGCAATTATATTGATTATAGCTGATTATAGCAATAGATGAAATTTAAAACTATAATTTAAAACTATTCAAGAAAGTACACACAAAACAAGGCAACGCCGCGCGTCTATTCGTTCAATTCCGAGCAAAATAGCGAGGCCCCACGAAGTTGGGGCCTCGCTCGCCAAAGCGAGGTCCCATCGACAGGTCAGATTTTGATGCGAGACGAGACTTCTAGGGTATTAAGATATTCTTTGGTATAATCAATATTGTTGCGGACCGGTGTGGACTCGACCTAACCTAACAATATGGCCCGCCCTCGGATGACCTTAACATCGCATAGACACCGCAATGCTTCATTCGTTCGAGAAGAATCGAGTCCCACTGGAATGGACTAGTACATACGAGAACATTCGAAAACCTTCTCTACGCACCTAACGATCTATGGACTATTCTAGAGTTCTTTACCTGTCGGTATAAAAGCCGGCGGCTGTGGCCTACAGGGGGTAGTTATAAATATACCAGTGCAGTTGACGCGCTAAAATTCAAAATAAATTCTTATTTATAAATCGTTTGTAAATAGTTCTATAAATCTTTTATCGTTATTGTTTTTGTTAATTAGTGTTAAATAAATAGTGTTTAAATAAATTGTGACTTTCTATCCACACGGAACCGACGAAAAACGTAACAATATGACACATTTATTTCATACAAGTTTTTTAATTTCTAGTTATTTACAGGCAACAATAGTTTTGATTATATCAATTATTATATGTATGTTGAAGTACCGTGTGATCGAAAAAAAACGGCGTGCAGTAATAATTTTACATATAAAATGACAGCGATTTTCATTTCATAGTCATATCTGCACTGACACCGTTTTTTTTCGATTATACGGTACTATACCGCATGATGAGTCTTACAGCACAATACAAGTCAGTGAGATAGAGGTAACATTTTACCTAGTTTGATTATAGTGTTTGTATCATAATTTCTTAAAAATATCAAGTTAGTGGATTAATAGCAATTGTAGGCATATATCGATGAATGCTCTGATAAGATCTTTTTCTCTATAGAAGGGATAATATCCCAACCATATCGCAACCAAACCAAACCATATTATGGTTTGTGTCCTAGAATACATTACAGTATTTAATATCCTGTACTTTGATATTCTTTTCTTATTTTACTGTAATTTCTTTTCTCTAACTAAGACCATTAAGACTTAGTTAAGTCTTAACCATTAGGACTTAGTTAAGTTAATTTATGATTTATAATAAGATTTTATACCCTTCTTATAATTTCTTTACGTCAATATGCTTTATGGTGTGGAGAATAAATGTTAAGATATCTTAATACTTGCATATCCTTCAGGAAAAATATTGTTTATAAATCATATATGCTCAGAAAATCACATAAATTAGGTGTAAGGATAGAAAAATCTTAAGGTAGCGGAAAAATTAATGCAATATATGTATAAGCAGAATTAAACAAGGTACCAATTAATATTGCTGATTCTACAGTTATAATTACGGATGCTAAAAGGCTTTTTAAAGGCCCACGTAGTTTTAATAAAATGTTATAAAACATATTATGAATATGATATGGAGCTACAGCATTTAAAAATTAAAAAAAGAAGAAATTTGGGTACACCCCTTTTATTACTCATAATTTTTAATAAAGCACTTTTTAAGCGTAACATAATAATCTAGAGCAATTAGATTAATTATAGCAATCTAGAGTTTTATTTCTATTTAATTTTATTGACTATGATATAATACATAATAAGCGTTCACGTGTTGTGCGAAATATTAAAATAATAATATAAATGATATGTATATATTGCCGTCACTGAAATAAACCTTATTTATTTTCTACTGAAAATAATTCCAAAAGAACTTGCAATCTGGCAACATCGACGATGTGCGCATGCTGTGACTATATGCAGCAAAAACTCGTTTCAAGGTCAGCCACCGGATCCATACTTTTACCTAGATTCGTATTAAATTTGCGTTTTATGGAGTGTAGAGAAAGGTACAAAGCAAATCTAACAAATTAAGGTAAAAGTGTGGAGTGTAGATCCGGTGGCTGACCTTGAAACGAGTATTTGCTGTATATAATCACAGATACTATGCATGCGCACATCGTCAATGTTGCCAGATTGCAGGTTATTTTGGAATTATTTTCAGTAGAAAACTAAAAATGTTTTATTTATTTATTTATTGGTGCTTCCTACAAACACACGAATGTAATTACATATAAGAGTGCCTTAAACTACATATAAAATTAAAATGACAAGACAAAAAATGAAGATAAACAGGATAAATGTACAAAACAATAGACAACAACAATGGTAAACTAACACAGAAAAAAACAATTGCTGGGCAGCATGTAGAACCGAGCAAGGCCTTTATGATGCAAATAATGACCTAATCTCACTTATTATTTTTTTCAGTGCTGTCAATTATCAATTATTTATATTATTATTTTAATATTTTGCACAACACGTGAATGATTATTATGTATTTTTATAGCCAATAAAATTAAATAGAAATAAAACTCTAGATTGCTATAATTAATCTAATTATTCTAGATTATTATGCTACGTTTAAAAATTGCTTTGTTAAAAATTAGTTAAATTAAAAGGGGTGTGTACAAGTTTCTTCTTTTTTTTGAATTTTTAAATGCTGTAACTCCATATCATGTTCATAATAGGTTTCTATGCATGGTTTTTATGGACGCTAAAAACCCTCCATATAGGTTTTATAACATTTCATTATACGTAGGCCTTTTTTAGCTTCCGTAACTATAACTGTAGAATCAGCAATATTAAATAGAGGTACCTTGTTTAATTCTGCTTATACATATATTGCATTAATTTTTCTGCTACCCTAAGATTGTTCTATTCTTACACCTAATTTATGTGATTTTCTTAGCATATATGATTTATAAATAATATTTTTCGTAATATGGAAGGATATGCAAGTATTAAGATATCTTTAACTATCCACACCACAAAGCATAATGTGCGTTGTATTAAGACATAAAAAAATGATTAGAAATATTATAATATAAATCACAAACTAACTTAAGTTTTGCATAAGTTTCAAGTTGGTATATGGTATAATCACAGAACAGATACAAATTTGTATCTGTTCTGTGGTATAATTAATGAGATCAAAAATAAACCTTCACCATATTATCAAGATAATAATAATTTTAATTTTGGCATTACAGGAAACAAGGAATTAAGTGAATTAAGAAAAGAATATCAAAGTTCAGGATATTAAATACTGTAATGTATTCTACGACATAATCCATATCCCTTCTAAAGAGAAAAAGTGTAAACATAAAGCTTATTTTAATCCTATCAGCATTCTTCGATAAAATATGTGCCTAAGCAATTGCTATTAACCCACTAACTTCATATTTTTAAGAAATTATGATACAAACACACTACAATCAAACTAGGTAAAATATTACCTCTATCTCATCGACTTGTGCTAGACAAAGATCTTTCGGAGTTGTTTTCACTTAAAAAACTGCCGCCAAATATTGTAATAATGGGCGCATTCAGTAAACACACCGGTTACTCCACCGGTGCAGAAAATTAAAGTGAATGCCAATGGTAACGCACCGGTTGTGGTCACCGATCACTTGAAAGTACCTCTACACTCCATACTTGAAAGCCTACCGTATTTTGTTTCCGGTTTATTTACGTACCGTACGTACCGGTAACTTGATCGTTCAATTGAAAAGTTATCGGTAGGTCTTTACAGGTTAATACCGGTGTGTTTACTGAATGCGCCCAATGTAATATTTAATATTGATTAGGCAGGGCCGCTTCTACACAGAATATACACCATACAGAAGCGACAAAGAGATTTGCTTCAAAATTTTTAGGAGGGGGCAGTGCTGGTTAACTGTCAAACGTGACGTCAAAGAATTATACACCAAAAAAAAATTCACGACCGCAGGTATAATTATTTCTAGATATTATGCATAAAAGACTAAAAAATATATTTCATAATTATTTATTTATTTTTAATTCTAAATAAAAATACTGATTTAAATCCCTCTAGTTTTTAAAAATTAAATAAACCTGCCTTTCATCATTTTCTATTAAAATCTAACAATTTTCTTTCAGTGTGAAATGCTGTTCAAGGCGCACGGATGTCAAACGTGACGTCACGCAATTAGTTCCCATTTGACCAATGCTATTCAAAGCTCTTTGTCGCTTCTGTATGGTGTATATTCTGTGGCTTCTATTAGGCAAGATCTTTCCCAATTCTAACACATTGTCAAAATGTCAAACGTCATTTTAATGGTAAGTGTCATTGGTAAGCATGGTACAAAGAAAACAAGGTATGATCGATAGCGGCTCCAATTTCGTTAAGTTTGCGCATACCACCTGTGACGTCATACGCCATACAAAAAAATATCCATGTTGTTCAATTGCCACTAATAAAAAGAGACCTAAAGTAGAGAAGAATTAGGACATAACCCCAAAAGTTATGTCAAATCATCGAGCTTGACATTTAAAAAATTATTTTCACATTTATTCTGTCATCTGTTTGACAATTTGAAATTGGCGCGCGGAGCCTGCCGACCAATGGTACCGTTTATCACCTGTGACGTAGTGACCAACCTGCGCAATATCATACCTTGTATTCTTTATTCTTTGTATCATGATTGATACATGATTGGTAAGTATAAATTATCTATCAGTTTTAAAAATATATTTTGGCATGGTTTTCACATGAAAATTCACAATTTTCCATTGCAAAAACTTGTCCAATCGGTAAATATCAGGTCATTCTAAAACAAGCATAGTAATATGAAGTGTCATTATGAAATTCTTCAAATATCTAAAGAAGCCGATGATAGTGAAATAAAAAATGCATATAGGAAATTAGCTCTCAAATGGCATCCCGATAAAAACTTAGAACAGCCGGTTATTGCAAAAGAACAGTTTCAATTGGTACAGCAAGCATATGAAGTGCTCGGCGATAAACAAGAGCGAGCATGGTATGATGCTCATCGAGATCAAATTCTAAGAGGAATAAGCTCCGAGTTCCAAGACAAGAGCTTAGATGTGTTTCAGTATTTTACTACGACTTGTTTTAAAGGGTATAACGAGGAGAAGAATGGATTCTTTGCAGTATACAGACAAGTGTTTGAGCAAATTGCTAAAGAAGATATTGAATTCATGGATGACAAAGAGGATTTTGTGGAGATTCCTGGATTTGGAAAATCCGATAGTGATTATGAGACAGTTGTTAAGCCATTTTATGACTTTTGGATGAGTTATTCAACTAAGAAGAGTTACTCTTGGTTAGACCCTTATGATATAAGAGAAGGTTAATTTACAACATTGCTAGTTTTTTATTTAAATATATTGCATTTTCAGGAAAAGGTGACAGACGGCTTTTAAAAGTAATTGAGAAAGAAAATAAAAAAGTAAGACAGAAGGCAAGAAAGGACAGGAATGAAGAAATTAGAAGCTTAGTGTCTTTTGTCAGAAAAAGGGATAAGAGAGTACAAGCATATAAAAAAGAAATGGAAGATAAGGCTATTGAAAATAGAAAAAAGCAGGAAAAAATAAGCAAACAGAGGAGGATCGAAAGAAAGCAACAGCAGGCTAATGAAAAACAAGCTGATTGGATGAAATTTGAGAATGTTCAATCACAACTTGAAGAAATGGAGAAACATCTTGCAGAACAATTTGGTGAAGATATATCAAATTCAGAAGAAGAAATTGAGGATGTAACTAATCTTTATTGTGTAGCATGTAATAAAGTTTTTAAGACCGCCAAAGCTTTTGAGAATCATGAATCCAGTAAAAAGCATCGCGAAAATGTAGAGAGGCTAAAGCAAACTATGTTAGAGGATGATATTGAATCAAATTTAACAGGCAACGTAGATGAATATCAGGATATAATACAGTCTGATGAAGATCTGGAAGATATTATAGATGAAAAAGATTCTGAGTCAGATGAAGATTCTGTGGAACAAAAGGATTGCATAAATGAAATAGGACACACAAAACAGAAACAATATAATGAATATTCAAGCACCGAAAATTTAGCAAGCAATTCAAAAAATGATAATTCCAAAAAAAAACAAAAGCAAAATAAGAAATCCAGAACTGTGTTAACCAACGTACAGGATAGCGATGAAGACTTGGATGTATTAAAAGTTTCAGATGATGACTTTGATTTTGGCATGAGTAAAAGTCAAAAAAAGAAAAATATTAAGAAGACCAACTTGAATAAAATTAAGCCGACTAAAGATATGCTCACTGAAACTCAGTCTGGTGATGTAGAAGTGAAAATTACTGTTCCTAAGAAACTAGGAAAGAAAAACAGAAAAAAAGATGTAGCAACTGGTCTTAGTGAAATAGATACAAATCACTGTTGTGTGACCTGTAGAGGAAATTTTCCGTCAAAGAATAAACTTTTTGATCATCTAAAGAAGACACGACATGGTGTTTATATACCACCAAATTAAAACTAAATCAGAAAACAATAGCTTAAATAGTTGACATATTTATTTGTAAACATCTAATTCATAATAATATATATTCTTTTTTAAAGTATGTGTTTATTTAGACAATATTGCAAGTACATATATAAAAGTACAAAAACTTAAAAGTATGCACAATAAAAGTTATATAAAAAATGTATAATATATAAAGATAAGTGTAGAGGTATATGTAGATAAAATTAGATTCCTTAACTTGATCTAAGTTATCAAAAGGATTATTTAAAAATATCTTTGGTTTAAGTTTATTCCCTAATGTAAAACATAAGCTTAGATATGTTGTGTTTAGGATTTTAAAAAAAAATATTTTTGATAGAGTATTATTTTATAAGGTACCTTCGCTAGGTAGTACACTGGTAAAATTTGTTTAATACATTTAATTTTCAGATGATTCTTTTAAAAAGTCTGATGAATTCGAATATGTGGTGAGCAAAAAAAAGTAAATTATAACAAATCTTCAGTAATTATTATTTTCAGTAAAAAGATAAATTACCCTTCAGCTGAAAGAAATAAGTTTTATATACTAGAAGTGTTACAGAAACACATTGATCCCAAAATACCAGGAAAACTTCTGGAAATAGCTTCTGGTACTGGTCAGCAATGTGTGTATTTTGCTTCAAAATTTCCCAAAATCCTTTTTCAACCAAGCGAAATTGAAGATCAAATGTTCGACAGTATCAAGGCTTATGCAGTTGAGGTGCGCTGCAAAAAATTAAGTTATTAGCAAGATGAAGTATAGAGAATTTTTAGGCTATATCAAAAAACGTTAAGAATCCGGTTAAAATTGACGTCAACACTGATCCATGTCAGTGGGGTATTGATTTTGACTATGATTATGTCCTTAATGTCAATATGTTTCATGTAACACCTATTTCGTGTTCAATAGGATTTTTTAAAAATTGCAGCAAGGTAAAATAAACCAAAGATATAATTATTCACTAATACAATAGCCTTTTTGAATTAATATTATTTGTAGATTTTAAAATCTAATGGCTTATTATTTACATACGGACCCTATGCCAACAATGGTGTTTTAACACCACAATCAAACATCGATTTTGACAAACACATAAGACAAAGAGATCCCAACTGCGGAGTTCGTGATATTCAAGACCTTAGACATTATGCCAACGAATGTGGCATAATTCTGCAGATAATTTATGATCTGCCGGCCAACAACAAGTGTTTAGTTTGGAAAAAAGAAGTCAAATAAAAAAAAACCTATAAATTTCAACACTATGTTATAGCAACACTAAAAATACTCGAATTTCTGAATTTCTCTCTCAGTATTACTATCAATATTAGTTCAAAATGACAAAACTATAAAATGTACCTTATTTTTCAAATACAGTAGAACTTCGATAGTTCGGACACGTATCGGAACAGCTACCGCCGTAGTTTCACACTTTTATTGTTTCCAACCTAAACTCAAAATTTTAACACATTTTTATTTAAACCAAAAAACACTTTATAAAACATATTAAAACTTCTTTTTGTTCTTATAAATTGTGCTTATTGTACCTATATGCATCCATAAGATAACACAGTTATTATTTACTACAATATCCATATTAAGTAGTTACGCACCTTAATACCCATTAAACACTTAAATAAAAATGTCAACAAATGTGAAATTAATATTTAATTTGAATTGAATTTATTGATTTTTTAAAAAATGAATCGATTTTAATCTGCATACATAGTTAACAACTCTGATGACTAGGTTTTCTTCATCACAGTAACCAGTAAATACTTTTTGATAAAGATCTTACAGCATTGCTAAGTTCCATTTTCAACACAACATTGTTAATCTCTGTTTCACTTATGTCGTCATTTGTTTCATCTGTTTTCAATGCCTAGTATTTTCTCTTCCTTATTTTACTCGTCACCTAACCAGAGACAAACTCTTTTTCTCCTTATGGCGCGCTCAGACGACTCGTGTACTTGACAAACATTTGTAATTGGTATACAGGGTATACATTGTACATCGGGCATCTATACAGAATTTCTCTGTACAAAAGTTATTTATTATTATAGGCTGTGTTATAGGAGCTACGCCGTGTTTTCGCCAGACCCTGTATGCCAATAAAAAATACTTGCCAAGTACACAAATTGTCAGAGACAGGATACATTAAAATACGCAACCAACCGTCCAATCAGATGAAAGAGGTACGTACCCTATCGTTGGGTATTGTGCAATCACGTGATGCTCATGTCGTCGTATGACGGTTAAATCTTTGGTTAGAATTTTTGTTGTTGTTTTTACCTGTTTTTACAGTTTTTACTTTATTTTTCTATTTACATCAGATTTATATTTTGTAATTGCCTATCAGACAATACGTATTTAGAAAAATAATAAGAATTAGGATCGTGTTTTTTTTTAAATCCTGGATATTAATTGGAACCCTTGGTAACATTACTGCTTTTGATATAAAAAGTGCATTTTGATTATTTACTTGGGCTAGGATATTAAAATATCGGTTGGATTGTACGACATAAATAGATGTAGGTATGATTATTTATATATATGTATGTATTTATAAAGCTTACTATCTGTTTTGCATTTTCAGTTTTTGATCAGACATTTCATTTTATTTGTGAAATGCCCACAAAAAAGCTTCCCATGATTCAACATCAGTGTGTTTGCTGCATAATGGATCATTCCTGCTGAATTTTTAGATCATTTGAAGACTACATGGAAAAAACCAGATAATATGTTACATTTTCATAGAAATTGATAGCGAGACAATTTTATAGGCAAGTGTTAGCATTATTCGAGGCACCATCAAAGAAAGCAATAATAATATGCTTAGTCCCAGAGATATTACAGCTTAGTTATTTTGCCCTACAGGAGAAAAACCAGAGTAGTTCACTCGTAATTGCATTTTCTCGGCTCCAGTTAAAATGAACAAAGCTGGTTTTTCCTGTGGTCTTCATTTGAAATAACGTAAATAAATGTTTATACATATGTATGTGATGATTAAATTGGTGTTAAGGAAATAAAAATGTCTTTCGATATTAATATATATTTTTCGATATTAATATATACCTAGGTATAGGTATATGTATATTTATTTTGAAATAAATTACACTTTTAACAGTTTAATGGAGTTTTTAAAGCCAGTTATAATATTTATATTTTAAAAACTTGAAATCATAATGTGGATGTAATCACGCATTAAACCACAGACTAACTTATATAAGTCAAAAAGTAGATTTTAGTGTTAACTTTATATAACTTGTAAGTAAAATAATATATAAAACAAATATGAAAAAACCAACAATTCTAATGTATATATTAAAATACAGTACAATAATAGGTATCTGATATCCTCACTTAACGTAGAATAATATTCTACCCAACTCAATACTATGTCCAACATGAGTTTCAAATATATCGGGCCCTAATCGTTCCTGAAAATAGTATTTTTTTACATTGTTATACCATATTCTAAACTATTTAATATTTCAGTCACTTAAAAAGTTAATTTGTATTGAATAATTGCCTACCATTAAAGCAAATTTGGACTAGTATTCTTAATGGGCATATTCTGTGTATGGATATAGGTACTTCCTCCAGATTTTGGGTTCAACCAATTTATTCTTAAAACCTGAAACATCTACATATAAAAAATAGACAGGTTACTAATTATAATAAAATTTACCCTTAGAATTATACTTCTTTAACAAATAATTTCCATTGGTATACTTTTCCATGACAAGTAATCAACTTCCTAACATTTTTTAATTGATGTAATACTTCCTCACGATGCGAAAAGAAAATCTTTTCTTTAGCACACAAAGGACAAACGATATGTTGGCTTACTTTCAGATTAGTTACTTTTCCATAGATATCCTCATGTCAATTCAAAGACGATGAACATGAAAATGATCATCACATGAAACATCACAAACTAAAAACCTAATAAACAAGTTTATATCGAATATAGAAATAAATTTAGTGTTCTTACCTATTGTCGTCCAAATCCACGTTAATAGATAATTAATTTTTGGATTTTTATCTTTTATTTTTAAATATATCTTTCGAACTACTGGTTTTAGTAATTATTAAATTAAACGAACTAAAAAGTCAAAAATAATAAACAATTAATTCTCTTGTCAATTGTCAATTTTCTCCAGGTACCGAACATCATCGATAACGCACGATCTACAACGATTACTCCTTTGATCTGATTGGACGGTTCAATGACGGTTGGTTGCGTATTTTAATGTATTCTGTCAGAGACCGCCTTTAAGTTCATTTACAATTTTTCTATTTTGTACAGAGTGGCGCCTCTCATACGACGCGGAGGCTCTCGGAGGAGAACGATAGTTTGTATTGAAATGAAATTTTGTGAGCATATGTAGGTTAATTTATAGCACTTTTTAAAAATATAGAAAGTTCTACAGAGTGTCACCAGAAAAAGTTACACATCAAATTTGTGTTTTTTTTTGTAATGGAACACCCTATACAGGTTGTTAATTTGTTTATTACTCGCGGCAACAGCTTAAAGCCCCGGGGTGCAACTTTGTTCATGTTTCAAAGCGATAGCAAAGTAATTTGTAGCTTGATGCACTATGTTCAGTAGCAACATCGATTCGTAGCGATATTCTGATTTCTCGCTTTGTGGCGAGGCGACAGTCTAGACACGTGTGCAAGAGTGTGATAGTGATACCATATTTCGCAGCATTTGAGCGACAATAGTTTTGCAATGAACACAGTATCGATCTGGTTTTGACATCGCTTCTAAACGATCGGTTGCTAACTTGAACAAAGTTGCACCCCCGGTCTCAAAACAGCGAGTGTCGCCAGCGAAAGAACCAATCCGATTGGTACAAAATTCAAACAGCTGTCAATTTTAAATTTAGTACAGCTCCCATTGGTTGTTTGAAACGTCAGATTGTGTCGCCAGCACACGCCGTCGTTCTGAGAACGGGGCTTTATGGTTGAGATATGGCAACCTCGGCCCGCTCGTCGATAGAAGACACGCGACGGGACGAGTCGGCAGAAAACCCTATAAGTGCATGCGTTCCATAGAGAAAGTAATAAAAAGAGAGTGGCAGATTATATTAGGACAACTGGTATAGCGTTTCAGTTTTCCTGTCGCGCAACTCAGATGCCCTAATTTTGTACAAATTGAGCTTCGACTGACGTTTTTGTTTCCATCTTCTTCTAAAAGCAGCTGTGCAAGCAGTAATAAGAGTGAGATCATTAGGACATCGAGTATTATTATTGTTAAGGTCAAGGTGTATTACTTGTTGCATAACCGCAACGATGCATTGAGGAACCTGGCGAATTCGACAGAAAGTAAAAGAAAATTACAGAATTCTTTAGAAAATTCCAGAAACCATCGCCAGGGGGTATATAAGGCCCGCGCTTTGACAGTCTGAAGATAGTCTGAATTTTGAATATACCGCGCTTTAAATAGTGAAACACCGTTAAGCCCCGTTCTCAGAACAGCGACTGTCGCCAGCGACACGTCAAGAGGACCAATGAGATTTGTACAAAATTCAAACAGCTGTCAATTTTAAATTTAGTACAGCTCCCATTGGTCGTTTGAAGTGTCAATCAGTGTCGCTGGCGACAGTCGCAGTTCTGAGAACGGGGCTTTAGAGTAATAGTAGTTGCATAAATTGTGTAGTAAATAGTATAAGTTGTGTGTACAGAGTGAGACAAATAAATTGTTAAGTATTTTATCGTGAGTTTAAATAGTGGACCCACGGAATCCGTAACATTATTTATCATCACTCATTGTCAGATTGGCAAATAATTGAAAACGTGATTGAAAATTAAATTGCACAAAACAATTTTTAAATGCATTTTTGCAACATTTGTGCTTGTAAGTTTGGTGTAATTAAAAGTGCATTTAATTCTGGGTTAAATTGTTGTTTGTCTCCCGGGCAGCTATAAAAACAACCGAAAAAAGGTAAATTAAATGTGAGGTTAGATTATTAATGATAATGTTTTTATTTTAATTAATACTTTTCATATCTACAAATTAACAGTATTAACGTAATTACCACGATCGCTGCCAAGTTTATGCCTTATATAGTCAGGAGTAGAAAAGTATTGTATAATAGTTTATACTATTAAACTATTAGATATTTATTTTAAGGTAAAGGTGTGGATCCGGTGGCTGACCTTGAAGCCCATATTTGCTGCATTTGATCATCGATACTACGCAAGCGCACATCGTCGAGGTTGCCAAATTGCAGTTTATTTTCGAATTATTTGCAGTTGAAAATTTTTTTTTGAGTGTTGATCAATAATAATACAAATTCTATAATTAATTTTATAATTTCAGATTTATCTTGATATCCAAAATTAAGGAATGATATATAAAATTGTAATAATAATAAAACATTTATTTATATATTTACATTAAAATTAAAAATTATCATTTACTGATTTTTTCTTAATGGTTTTAAACTTATTAGAATTATTTTATTTCTAGTTATTTACAGGCAACAATAGTTTTGATTATATATATTGATGTATTGAAGTACTACCAACGTACTACCATGACGAGTCTTATAGAACAATATACGTCAATGGGAGATAGAGGTAACATTTTACCTATAATGTTACTAATATAATATACTTTGATTATAATGTTAGTATCATAATTTCTTAAAAATATCATGTTAGTGGATTAATAGCAATTTTAGACATATATTTTATCGAAGAGTTGTGGTGATAAGTCTAAAATAAGCTTTATGTTTTATCTTTTTCTCTTTAGAAGGGAGATGGTTTGTGTCGTAGAATACTTTACAGTATTTAATATCGTATACTTTGATATTCTTTTCTTAATTTACTGTAATTTTTTGTTTCCTATAATGCCAAATCTTGACAATATGGTGAAGGTTGAGTTTTGATCTTATTAGTTTTATACCTGTGTTTATACAAGACCAAATTAAGACTTAGTTTGTGATTTATATTAAGATCTTTCTTATAATATTTGCTATGTCTTCATCTTAATACTATATTATGCTTGGTCTGTAAAATAAATGTTAAAATATCTTAATTTTGCATATCCTATTCATCCTTCCATTAGGAAAAATATGGTTTATAAATTATATATGCTAAGAATGTATAAAAAAAAAATATATAAATAAATTATATATGCTAATCTTAATGTAGCAGAAAAATTAATGCAATATATGTATAAGCAGAATTAAACAAGGTAACTGTTAATGTTGCTGAAGCTGATTCTACAATTTTAATTACGGAGGCTAAAAGGCCTTTTAAGGCCTCCGTAGTTTTGATGGGATGTTAAAAAAAATCTATTATGAACATGACATGGAGCTACAGCATTTAAAAATTAAAAAAGAAAAAAATTTGGACACATCCTTTTAATTTCCCGAATTTTTAATAAAGCACTTTTAAACGTAGCATAATAATCTAGATAGGAATCTAGAGTTTTATTTCTATATAATTTTATTGACTGAAAATACATAATAAGCGTTCACGTGTTGTGCGAAATATTAAAATAATATACCGCGTACTATGATTGAAAAAAAAATAGCGTCAGCAATGACTATGAAATGAAGATCGCTGTCATTTTATGGAAATGTCCTCAATCGTCATTTCCCAGACAACTGGACGCCGTTTTTTCGATCATACGGTATATATTGACAAAAAACACTGAAAAGCACATATTTGTTTTCTACTGAAAATAATTCCAAAATAACTCACAATCTGGCAACATCGAAGATGTGCGCATGCGTAGTGTCTGTGACTATATGCAGCAAAAACTCGTTTCAAGGTCAGCCACCGGATCCACACTATTACCTATTTTAATATAGTACATAGTTGTAATTAATAACATAAATAAATGAATTATTTAGTAGAAAAAAGTATCTTGCTATTAGAACAGCATTTAATTATTTTTTAATATACTATATGATTAATAAGCAATATGGCATTTTTATTATTTTCCCTAAATCTTCATTGATTCGTATTCATTGAAACTTTTGTTGACGCATTTTTACTATTTTATCTTCGAAAGTTAAATTTGTCAATTTACTTATTAATGGGGATGTTTTGTGATTTAACTTTCGTCGATAGAATGGTTAAATGCATCAATAAAAGTTTCAAATAAATTCAAAGTAAAACCAGCTTATTTAAATTCCCCGGCGCATTCGCCAAAAATTTTTAAATTAGTTTGTCCTGTTGTCACAGCAGCGCTAGTGAATGCGGTTCTAATTTTTACTATGCGATCTGTATCTCTCTTTTTATTACTTTCTCTATGATGCGTTGTCAATAGGCAGTGTTGCCATTCTGTTCCCCTATAAGTAACTGCCCAGTTAACAATCTGTATATTCAGTGGTTTTCGGATTCTAGGAGAAAAATAAAGGCGAGTCAGTGCCTTCTATTAAAAGATCAGCCTACTGGCGAGATTTATGACGTCACG